AAAATATATAAAAATGCATGTGGGTACTCAAATGAAAGCTCTTGATGAGTGTAACATCAGGATGAGCTTATATCTTCAAAAACGTCAATATTTAAGAAAGTACAATGCAATTTAACTAAATTCATTATTTAATAAAGCAAAATTTTATTTATTTATAGTTCACAATTCACTGCAGTCATATAGTGACTGCAAAGTTGCTAGTTATCATCATTATTATTATATTTAATGTTTTTTAGTACACTAGTACAATAAATATTAATAAGCTCTAATTATTATTTTAGGCATGGGCCAACAAGTTATTGAACTCAAGTAAATTAATACCGCAATCATCATCACCGTATGGCGAAAATATATATTCCGTTCAATGTTCCGATCCTAATAATATCGTCTCAGCACGTGAAGTTGTTGCTAAATGGTATTCCGAACGTAAAGAACATAAATTTGGTTTTGAGCCGAAAATTTTAAATACATGTAAGTTATTTATTTATTTACTATAAATATGCATAATTAGTAAATTAATTTTTTGCTATAAAAATTGAAGCAATAATTAAAATTTATTATATATATAATTATTATTATTTATGTTAAAGGTCATTTTACACAAATAGTTTGGAAGAGCACGCAAGAAATGGGAATTGCAATGGCTAAAAAAGACGGTAATTGCATTATCGTGGCTTGCTATTACCCCCGAGGAAACATCGTAGGACAGTTTACTGAAAATGTTCTTAAGCCTATTAAAAGTATTTGATAAAATGTATTATTACTGTAATAATTATTTAATACGGGTTGATTTAATATATTTTCTTCTTAAGCTTAAGCTTAATATTAACTATTACTATTACCATTAATATTAATATTACTCTATTACTATTTTTATTATTATTTTTTTTTGTTGACTGTTATTTAATTTATGCCGCATTTATGTATATAATACATACCGATAGATGCGTAGTGAAGCATTCCATTAACTGCTATTGTTCTGTAATTAAATAATAGTAACATTTATTTAACCGTAAAACTGATAAATATTTTTTATATTTGTAAGCGAATAATTATTTAGATTAAATATCGAATATTTTTAAAAAAGTTAATTTAATTTGTAAAAAAAAAAAACATTTAATAAATGATAAGTAAGAACAGTTTAATTATTATATATTTATTTATTTATTTATAATATATTTATATTTTATATTTATAATAAATCAACTTCGTGTTACAGATTACGAAGTTGCGAACACGATTTATGATACATTGTTTTATTTTATATTACATTTAATACAGCCGTTGATAATTAATTTGGTAAATTGTTTGTTTTTTTTTTTGTGGTCAATTAGTTATTTATATATTTATATTTACTTATATGACTTATAAATCTACAGTAAATACACTTTGACACTCTTTAAAAATAAATTTATAATATTTTTTTTTTGGTAAATGCAATGCTCACGTTTAATTAACTCAATTAATAAGAGTTTTTAAAATAAAAACAATTTCGTAATTTTTTTTTTTTAATAAAATGACTTGATGTCTAGTCTCGAACTATATGAAGCGTATACACAGTTAGTAATTCGTTTTTTACTTAGATTTATTTGGTAATATTTTTAGATTTATATTTTATACATTTATTTAAATTTTAAAATAAAATAAGTCGACCTTTATTACTCTACTGTAGATTAAATAAATTGTGCATAATTAACAATAATAAACAATATTTATATAATCACAATTAATTTCACTTAAAAATTAAATTAAAGCACCTTTAATACTTTGTTAATACAGACTTAAGAAATGACCTTGTATCTTGTCCACGATTGACATTTTTAAAGATATAAGCTCATCCCGATGTTACACTCATAAAAAGCTTTCATTTGAGTACCCACAT